TCCTACATTTCAAGAACTTATCTAGATAGTTGATAATATAATCGGTGTATCTAAATCATTAGGACCATAGTTTCCTTCACCATATGAACTTATAGTATATAATTGGATGGCGTATATAGATTCATATTTCATTAGAACTATTAGTGTTATAGCTCTATGAATGTGTTGGTATTATGTAATATTTTCATTAGGATATGTTGCTCAGATTATGAATAAAAACTTGTGAAGAACGAACGATATTTTAGTGTTAAATAGACCTCGAGTCTAACTCTACCTAATATTAGCTCATGAGGGAGAATTGTCAAGACCGTATAAAGAGACCACGCGATACATCTCATATACAATCGATATGTGAGATTCTCACACACTCTCATGCCCAATAGGCTGGATATTTGGAGCGTTGACAATTTTAATATGAGAGCCCAACATCGTGAAATAAGAATGGAAATCAGTCCTGCTCCAAGACTAATACCATGTTATGAAATCGATCTTAGGCATAACTCAATCCTAAAAGTTATCTCAACAGGTGAGGATCGTCCAAGTCGTATTAAAGAGTCATCCCTTAAAAGATCGATATAAGACTCTTCTCAAACACACATATCCCTCACGTTCAAGACTGATTATCTGATATGTGAGCAATTAACTATGAGAGTGTAACATCGAAAATGAAGATTAGAAAGAATCTTGCTAATACCATTTAAAGAAATAAATCTAGAACCTAACTTAACCTCAAAATTTAGCTTATCAAAAGAGGATTACTTCAACTAATTGATCCTGTTTGAAAATGGAAAGGTAAAAGACAGCTAATTGACAAATACATCCAACATTTCCTCAGATTTACTGCATATATTTGTATCTTGTAGGGATAGATACAAATTTTTTGTCTGATTTTACACGGTTGACAGTACCCACCAATTTAGTATAGGACATTCTGACTGTTGATTTTAAATGTTGTGTCATTATTTGCATTGATTTGGTCTCTTGTAATCAATGATACCTTCAACAAATTGAGTGCAGTAGCTAACATTTATGACTCCATCCACTTTATTACCCCTACTCAAGGGTACATATTAATGTAATTTAATACTCCATGTTCATTCACTTTTATTTGTTTTATTTCATTTTTAGACAGTTAAATTAGAGAAGTGCTAAATGGCCAGAAAATTTGGCCAAAATTTGGTCAGAAAATTAAAAAAACTATCATATTTTTTTTTATTTTAAAATAAACTGATCTTTTTTTCATTTTTTAGTTAAGAGGTATTAAAGTTAAAAGGGTAAAAATATTTTAAAATGTAAAATAACATAGATAATATATCATTCTGGCCAAATTTTCTGAACTTAGATCAATATTTTGAATATGTTTGCAGCAGTATCTTTTAGAGAGAAATTTTGAAGATATTTCTGAACTTGATGTAGATTGTTAAATTCGTCTTCGAATTATTGACAATCTTAAAAACACCCTTTTATGTAACTAATTAAACATAGATACACACCAATTTGCTATATGACATAACAAGTGGTCTCAAACTCTTGTAGGAGCATGAGACTCTTTATAAAAAATCAAGATAAGTATTAAAAACACCCTAAACTTGGGGAGAATTTAAGAGCGTGTGTATTTAAGTTCAGTTAATCAAGTATAGTGGTGTTTTTAAGGCTGTCAATAGTTTGGATATTAAACTAATAATTTGCGCCGAGTTTAAGGGTGTTTTCAATATTTCTCTCTATTTTTTATATAGTTTTCTTCAAACATGCATCTACCTTCGAAATCTGAAATATTGAACTAATTTGATTCAATCTAACTCTGTAAACTAGTCAAACTGATTCTCGTAAAGCGAAATGTAATATTCTCTCTTTATTATACTCAAAATAGATATTCATTTTTACTGGTACGTTTTGCAGGTATCAAATTGGTTCATAAATGCTAGGGTTCGATTGTGGAAACCTATGGTGGAAGAGATGTATCAACAAGAAACCAAAGAAGAAGAAACAGATCAAGAGCAACAGCAACCAGAAAAACAAGCACAAATCCCAATGCACGACAAGACTACCAACATGGCCACGTCATCAGCAACAACAAAAGCAATAACAATGCCATTATCATCAGTAAGATCCGAATTTAATGCTAATGAAAGAGACCCTTCAAAAAACATCATCAATTATAGGCAGTACGCCTTGGGAAACCAACTAGTAATGCTCCAATCAGACGACACCACAACCGCGTCCACCTCTAATCATCATTACTTCACTGCGGTGGACGCGGTTGATTTGGTGGCTAATTCAAATGCGGCTAATACGGCCGCATTTGGATCTCAGCAAGCTAGGGATGTATCACTCACATTGGGACTAAGGCACTCGGAAAATGTACCAAGGAAGCCAGCCCAATTCCAATTAAGAGACTTTGGAGCTTATTAATTAGTATTATTACTACTTTTATCAACAATTTTAAGTTTAAAGAGTAGAAATAATTAAGAAATGGAAAGTAATGTTATAATGTATGAATTTACTTTATAATAGTATTGGGATATCAATTGTATAAATGGGGAATTTGTAATCGTATTTTAGTACGTAGATTATGTGTAAAAAAAAAGACGTGTTGCGGGTAATTTATGGAAATCTAGTGAGTTGAGTGCTATATTTACAAGCTCTTTTTATATTTCTTATTATGAAGCTATTGTAGAAGTGTATGACACTCTCATCTAAAAGATTACGTAGCAATTCTTTTTAATTTGGATGACGGTGAGATTCAATCTCAGAACCTCTATCTGCTCTGATACCATATTAAAATATGTGACAATCTCATCTAAAAGTTTAAGTTGTTAGAGAGAGCACACTTTTATTAGTTAATGATATTCTCAACAAATATAGCTAGAAACATATGGTGCTATAGTTGTTTCCTCCCCATGTTGTGATACTTGGTTTGAGGCCTCGATGAATCCAAATTTACGCTGGCAAAACTTATTAAAAAGAAAGCGTTTTCCTTACTTCTGATTAAAAATAGATGAATCTAGATATATGATCGATATGATATGAATGGCAGATACATCTTCAATTCTCTTTACATCAAATTTTCTAGCCAATCATGACATATATAAGTACATGATTACTAGAGTGATTCATTCTTTGATTATTCATAGTTATATTTGTAGAATCTAGTAAAAATGGGCACTTTTTGGATTCATTTTATTTTCCTAGCTAGAATGGTCCCTGCTAGTTGCTAATACTGTAAATAGTTTATCAATTCCACATAAGGCATTAAGCAGTTAAATATCCAACGTATTTTATTCGTACGTAAGTGTCGGTGTCCTCTATTTTTTTTGTATTTTTTTTTTTCTTTCCTCCTCTGAACGTTCTCCCATGATAACTCAAATTCACAATTTCAATACAGACTCTAAATATCGAGTAGAAAACAAAAAAAAAATAGTTTCTAAAAGTTATGAAACTTACTTAGGATACATTTTTTAAAATTTTATAAAAAGCATGACAATGGATTAATTAACACAAAATCAGTACATATGTCATTGTCGGTATTAATGAATCTTAATTTTATAATTGTCCTGCCTTGATTGGTTACTTTAGTATTCACATAATAATTGCAGCTTTTCTCAATTTAAGATTAAACTATAGGTTATCCCAGTGGGAGGTTGCTTTCAACTTGCATATATAGGAAAAATGATTATTTGAGTCGATGGTTTAACTGAAACAATTTATTTATCTTTATAAGATAGAAGTAGGGCAGGATCAACACAGGAAGCACAAGTTTATTAGATAGGAAGACAAAAATATGTTGGTTATGATTAATACATGATCAAAAGATCTTTATAAGATACGAATTTACCTGAAACTACTTTCAACCCGAGGCATAAATTATGTGTAATATCTTTACTTATTTATTTGGGTGATATATACTTGGCAATAGTATTGGTGCATTTTCATATAGATGCATCCAATTAATAATGTTGTCTTTGAGAGTACAGTGTGTGGATGGATAATTCAATGCAAAGAAACAAATTTTATATATCATACATCCCATCTATAACTGCGAAAATTAAATTGTATCACTGAACCATTCATATGTTCCCTCACACACGCAAAAAAAAATAAAAAATCCTGACAAAATCAGAAAATTACAACCTATCGTTGCAAACAATCTCATCATAAAATCATAACTCATCCATTCCATTAAGTTTTGACTCAAGTAATTTTTGAGCGAGTTATTAGCTATCAACATATTTTTACCTGCTCAAATTTGGTTCAACTCGCATATTTGTCACCTATTATTATTATAGTAGTAAAAGTTATTCCTTTAAGAAATTAAAGTTGTAATTTCAAAGTACATGGAGATAGTAACAAACTCTATTGTTAATTTGACCCTATCAGAATCTTAAAACAACAATAAAGAAGAAATTGACATCGATTTCGTAAAATTTCTACAAATTTTAGATCAATATTTTGTTAATATATAATAAAAAATTGTCTAAATATGTAAGCATTCAAGTATTCTACGTATGCAAGAGTATGAGATTACTATAACTAAAAAAAGAAGAAGTTAAAGCTATACACATTAGCACTTGGCAGTATAAAAAAAGTATTTACACAATCAGATCACTTATTAAGTAATTAGTAATTACATACAATCTTTTGATAATGTGTAAAAAACTCTTTACATTTTAGGATGGCGGTAACAAAGGTTTAAATTACATTCATAAATTATAATCAATCCAATAGTAACTTACATTTTCTTTCCCATTTGGTGTCCAAAGCTCACATTAGAGCCCTGATTAAATCCAGATCGCGCACTCCAAACCCCATTTGGGGGTGGTGCTCCCAACATGATTGTCTCCGTATGCAAAGTTCAAACCCGAGACATTTAGTTAAGGGTGGAACAGTTCCACCACTCCGAACAGTAACTTACGTTTGGTCACGTACGAGGAAGCAAAGAAAAAGTATGTTGAACCCATAAACGAACAACAATAAAAGAATATTTTCACATGGTTAATTAATTAATTAATTAATTAATCATTCATTAATGTACTTAATAAAAACATTTAATTTTGGAACAAATCGATTAATGTTTATTTGTTGAGGAATATGAATACCAATTATTTGTTCAATTTTAAGCATAGATGAGCTTTGACTGGCTTATGATCAGAGCTTTGAATGCTTTCAATGGCTTCATAAGAATGTAACGTTGCATTTATATTGTTACTGTCTATCTTGAATAATATTCTGTCTGTCCATGATGGTACTCTAACCTGTTCAAAAAAATTAAAACAAACAATTAATTTCAAATCAAAATATATATATTAAGAGAACACACAACTTTATCTTAATTTATATGACGCTCTTTTTCGTTTTTTGTCACTCTAGGAAAGTTTCACGGTGGTTACATAAAAGAGCAAGCGTTAGACACTAGTAATGCATTTTAAAGTTGTAAAATCCTAGGTCAAAGCCAGCAATATTAATGAGTTGGGCTACTATTGATGGTATTAGAATCACTCTGCGTGTAACTTAAACTTTGATGGGACAAACCTCAGTGTTCAATTGAATCTAGACGAATCTCATATATTTGAAATAATGGTGAGACAAATCTCAAAGAGGAAAAACTAAGGCCCCAAGGGGTATATATATGTGACACCCTAAATGAATTTCATATCGATTAAACACATAAGCAATGCTAGATATATAACTAGTCTTATACTCTAATGACATATTTTAAAATTGTGTGGACTTAGGCCCAAAGCAACTCACTAGTGGGCTAGGATATTACAATATTTTAAAAAAAAAAATGAGAAATATTACAGTTTAATGTCTTTAGCTCATATATTTTACAACTTATATACATAGTGTGTATAGGTAGTGTATCATTTATACTATATACATATGTATATATACACAGTATATACAACCAAATGTTATAGTATATACTTAGGCCATTTTCATCCACTACTATACAAGTCAAATTAAGTACTACATCTTGAACTTAACTACCTCAAATGATGAAAAAAAGATGGAATAAAAGGAGCAATTATAAATATTATTAGACTTATAAATTAATTAATTAATTAATTTAATTACCTTGTGACTTGTATCATAACTGCTGCTTCCAATATCATATTTATAAGTTGGTTTGAAATCTAATGCACCTTCACAATAACCATTAAAAATCTCTCCTCTTTCTGCTTCTTGTAAAAGTTGATCTTTACTAGTTAGCATCTACAATATTAGTCAAAACAAAATATTCAAATCTTTATACTGTCAGTGTATATAAAATAGTATAACTTAAATTCGTAAAAATAAATATGCATACTTGGTGGAGATTTCCATGGATGAGATCTCTAGCAGGATAGGAATTTATGCCTTGGAGTCTATAATTTAAATCTCCTAACCATACAGTAAGTTGTGCTGATTTAGCATAAGGATTCCTATTCTTTGAGAAAAGTGAATTTGATATATGTTTGAACTGCAAATTCCTCTCTTCTACATTACGAGCATGAGCTGTAAAACGTAAAATTGAATCGATTAATTGTGTATAATCAAAATTAGACTTGTCTGAGATGATATGAACTATAATATACACATAACATTGCACGTTTTGTCCTTCAAATGACCTGTTTTTTTTTTACCCTTTAGCAATCAAACTAGTTATATCTAATGAGGCATAAGTTCTTTAGAAAGTAGAGACATGTCGGAAATAAAGGATATTAAGATATGAAAATATAAACTTAAGTCATGAAAAACTTGTTTCGTAATAGGGGCAAAAGTTAAAGATCAACACAAAATAAGGCCCAAAGTGCAAATGACCCAAAGATATATTTTACATTGGGCCTAGTGGGCCATACGTATGCCGGAACTATTTAAAAAATGACCCCAAAAAGGTGGAGGCAGTTATACAGTTTGAATTTTTGTGTCACTAACATTGCGTAATGAATTTGAAAACAATTTTTTATGAAAATACACTCCCTAAGTGTCGTCCGTATTAAGTGTCCACATTATTAAAAATAGTTATCCTAGTTACTTATCAATTTACAAAATCGAGAAAAAGAATATAGAAAAAGTGAACAACTAATATAAAACGAAAGAGAATATTTCTTATTATATTTGTCAACGTACTCTAAGCAATTAGGTCCATTATGGGTCCAATCTTTTTACCTACCTAGCTACCACTCTACATACAAAGAATATAAAGCATATACAAGTTAATTTAAATCTAAATATTAAGAAGGCAGATGAGTCAAAAGGTTTTTTGGTTGGATTGTTTGGCCAGCACTTTAATTTATATATATATATATATATATATATTATTTTTTAAATGATTATTCTTAAATTTTCTGTTCAGACAAATACCATCATAATAAGTATATTAGATGGATCGGTGTTGTGTACAACTAAAATTCCCTTCGTTTATATGACGTGAAACATCAATCAGCGAGTGTTTTAAATTTAATATATTAGAAAGAGTACTATATTTATATTTGAAATTATTTAATTATATTCCGAACAGATCAATACGTTTGAGTAATGATAAAGAATGTATATAGATTTAGGGAACTTACCAGAGAGGTGGCAAGAAATAAAAACCATTTGTATGCCTTTGTAGCTAATTTTAATAGCCACTGCTCCTTTTTTTCTTCTGATTAACCAACCCAATCCTCCAACTTCATGCTTATCCACTTTTACTTCTATATAAAACCACATTTATTATACATTAATTAATTAATAACCTCATTTAATCAATTACAATAAAGTTTAGTAATATATATTCTTGGGATAAATAAAAGAAATTAAGAAACTATATACCTCTTGTAAATTGCTCTGAATTCTTGGGGCCAAACACATAGAGTTGTACAGATTGCATTACCGATTTTCCTAAAAGCCTTCCTCACCAAAATTAATGAAAGAATGTCAAAAATATTATAATATTTTAGAGTTATATTAGTATAAAAATTAACTTAAATATAGATATCATGCATTAAGTTACATACATAAGTGAAGGTCAGAATATTTACCGATAACATTATTTAAAAATGTAATTTATAATAATCTTGTGGCTGAATTGAAGCCATAATAAAACTAAATCCACATAGACCTATGTATAATCACAACAATAACATATTTAGTGTAACGTAACTTTACAAATAAGATTTGAAAAGGATGATGTATACACACAGTTAAGATAAATAGATTATATCTGAAAGATCATCAATATACGTAAAACAATTTAAAAAGAAAATACTATAATAAAAAAGTCATATTGAAAAGAATAGATGAAAGAATCATAACAATATAAATATTATATGTCAAGATGCAATGTATATTAGTACTGTTTTTTCCTAGAAATTTAAACATGACCACGAAAATTATTAGTACCGAATATCAAGGAACACATGACTTTTCTAGAATGAAAAACAAAATACAAATTGAAATTGAAACTTAATAATAGAGGGAAAACACGTCAATATTAGTAACTAGTCATTGTCAATATGCTTCTTTATTGTCTTGCTATATTTGAACTTATCGTCTTTGAATTTATTTCCAAAAACATTTATACAACCTAGCTACCCTGAGAAAAACTAATTTAGTAAAAAAAGAAATTAAAATTGATACATTTGAATAATAGAGAAAACGAAAGAGCAAGAGTTTAAATTATATGCACTAGATTGAATTACTTTTACATCATCGAGTTAAGTAACTAAGTAACTTACAATGACAAGTACTTTGTCTGTTCTACTTTATTTGTCTAATTTTGACTTTGTGCTTAAATTCAAAGTGAATATAATCTCAACAATTATTTATTCTGATTCGACATATTAATCATTTTGAAAGTATTTTTTGAATTTTGTGGTCTTTATAAGACAAAGATATTGAAATGTGAATTAAAATATTCTTTAATTTTGTGATCTGAAATATATATGTCAAATAAAAAATTGAAACTAAAGAGTTATTAAAAAAAAGGAAATAAACATTTTTTTAAATGATCTTAAAAAAAACAAGTAAGAAAACAAATTGAAACATAGAGCAACTCCTTTTAACATGTCAAACCAGAATAGTAAACTGAGCAAATGATCATTTGGTACAAGTTGATAATGCAAAAATACCGTATATTATCAGTATATATATACATAACTTAAATTTTTCCTAAAGAAGTGAAAATTAAATAAATTAAAGATATATATATATATATATATACATGCAAAAATACCATATATTATCAGTATATATAACTTAAATTTTTCCTAAAGAAGTAAAAATTAAATAAATTAAAGATAGATATATATACACATACATATGAGTATCAGCCAATGTGTTCTTCAATAACTTGCAAATATTATTTCGAGGTGCCTCTTGCAAACCCATCACCAATAAATCATATTTTCTGTCTTCACCAACTAATTTTGCTATATCCTCACAAGGTACCTTCACATTACACAAAAATAATATATGCAAAAATTATCAAAAAATCACTCTTAAAAGAAAACAGAAATTAGCGACAGACAAATAATTTATACGATTCATAAACAACAATATTCATTGCTAATCCAATCCCTTTAGCAATGAGCTAATTAGTCACAAAATGCTCGTTATTTCTTAAAGAACATGCAAAATTTAAATTGAACAAGTAAAAATGAACGTACGTACCTGACCGTTCATATTCCAAGTGACGAAATAGATGCAAAGATGAGAAGTTCCAGAGAACTCACAACGTTTTTGGATATCAACAGTTTTGATCCCTTCATGACTTGCCTCAAAACTATCTACCATTCCTATTGCTTCAGCTTTATGTCTCTTCATTTTGTACTTTCTTTAGAAAAAAAAATTAAATTTCATTAAAAGAATACTATATACTAATAATATAGCAAAAATGGAAATATTTAGAAAAATTATTAATTACCTTGATGCTTCAAAAAGCTTTACACATAGTCCCTCCATGGAGAAAAAAAAAATGTTGTTTTCTTGAATATTGAGTATTAGTAGTGTTCTTGAATGGGAAACACAATTTTTGTTTTTTGAAATTGTAAGGTATCAAAGTTTTTTTCTTCTCTTCTCTCTCTATATATATATAATAAAATAAATAAATATAGTATAAATATAAATGGGCGGTGAGAAAATATAATTCAATTCAAGAAGAAGAAGTCAAAGGTTTGGCGAAAAGTAGATATAGGAAGTATTTCTTTAGTAATTTCATGACCCGTATTAATCATGGTTTGATTACAAATTTTGAAAATTTAAAATTTTGAAATTAAAAGTTATTATATACATGCATATTTTACTTGGAAATTGAAATTTTATGAGTGATTATTCCAAAAATCTAAAAACTGATCAGTTAATCAAGTCAAAGGATAATATATTTTAAGGTTGTCAATAGTTTAGAGATGAAATTAATAATTCGTGTAGAATTTAAAAGTGTTTTCAATATTAATATTTTCTAATTAAGAAATTCATGGCTAAAACACTAGTTTAGAATTTGTTTTTTCATTGAGTTACGCTTAGATGCCGTCGACATTATGACAAACTCGTAATGACAGCTTCAAGGTCAAGAAAACTCTAGTAGCTTTTTCATGACCATGCAAATTAGATTTATATTATAGACTATTTTTTCATATTAATACGATGAAAGAATACATTTTAAAATATTACTTATAATGACAAATAAATTATTAAATATGTCTATATTGTCAACTACAAATACAAATTATAAAGGAGGGAGCAATTTAAATACTCTTCTGACTTTTTGAGTACTATTTTGTGGTTGAGTTGTAATATATGTTCATACTTGAGATTAATTAGACCTTTGAATTATCAACAAGGGTTGTGATGGAGTAATAAGTATTTTTTCATTCTTATTCAACAGGTCTCAAGTTTGACTTTTGAATCCTCTAAGTTACGGAATTGTCTTTGTTAGGAAACACTTTACCCCATAATATAAACTTTTTAATGTAAATTTTAATTTAGTCGGACTTTAATATGGTACCAAAGCCGGATATGAATGAAAAAAAAATAAAAAAAATTCGACCTTTGAGTCTCAATGCTGTTGCTTCGAGTCCCTCCAAAATCTAATAAATATAGGTAGGTCAATGGGGAATCAAATATAATAGGACACGTGTTCAATTTTGGGTGGAGTAACGTGAGAAGCTATCATAAGTTAATTCATTAGCCTTCTTCAATTTTGAAAATTAATATAGTCAAGAGTCAAATTCATCAAAGCAGTACTTTATTTTCTATTATAGCCATCAAAACCGATACTCAAAGGATATTATACTATTTGTTATCTAGAATTTTTAAAACAATATTTATTTTGAGTTATTATTTTTAAAGCGATACTTATTTTGAAATGGAGAGAATACACATGTACAACAACTCTAGTATCACGTTTGTATTGTGCTTGTATGAACATTCTTTGCTTTAACTAAATAATAATGTATTTCCTCTAGCGATTAAAATATTTAAATAAAATAATTATACAGTTCAACAACAAACCTCTTTAAACTAAAATTAAAGTTATCACTCAAGGTTGAAGCGTAACATCTAAAGGAACAACTTATAGTAGCGCACTCATTCACACCGAAAGGTTATTAGTTTAACATGGCCTTTCATTTAAAATTAACTATACCGTCATCAATATAGAAAGTTATAATAATTATAGGTTATTTTTTTGTAAAAAATAAAAGAAGTGTAATTATTTTAGGGAAAATTTTCAAAATGTCAATATTTTAGTATTTAATAGGACCTCTTATCAACATTTTCAATATTTATTAAAAATGTCAATATTTTAGTTTGTTATTCTTTTAATTTATGTATTTTTTATTTGTTTGAGTTGAAAGAATACAATTATTTAATAACATAACGGAGAAAATCATGGGAGAAAATATTTTTAAAAAAGGAACATATCACTTAAAATTCTCATCAGTTACAATTTCAAAAGTAATTGATTGTATTCATTCCAATATAATGATATGTATATTTGTATTCATTATGATTTTCATGTTTGAGTTTGTATAATAGTATTTGTATTTCTTTATTAGTTTGTATTCATTTTAATAGGTATACCAAATGGATTTGTATCCACAAACAAAAATATAAATAAAATATTTATATCCATATATACTTATGTAATCTATGTTCATTCAGAAAGGATACAACATTGGTTTTGTATATTTTTTAAAAACGTATATTCTTTCTTAAAATTCCAATAAATTTGTATTCCAATTATCAAAACATACAAATCTACAATCTTAGAGACAATAAAAAATTGTATTTCAAAAACTATTGTATTTCATGACAAAAAAATGTATTTTTTACAAATGTTGAGTTAAAAAAAAAAAATAACAAACAAAAAATAATATGAATACAATTTTGTTGTGAATACAATTTTGCAACATTGACTCTCTCTTTCTTTTTCTTCTTCTTCTATGTTCCTTTTTTTCCGATTTTTTTTTCACCAAATCCAAATTGAATCCGTATTCACTTGTGCATTAGTAACCCTATAAGAAAAATTTGAAATTATTAAATATGAATGTATAAAAAAGTAAACAATATATGATGTATGAATGCTAATGTAGATTATTACAATCTACTGAATCTCAAATATGTAAACAAACTCACAAAAAAATGAAAAGAGGACAGAAAATCAGAAATACATAAAATTCGAAATATAAAAATATTTGGTGAATATGAAAACAAAATCAGAAGAAAACTCACAAAATATTTGGTGACTTCAAAATTACCTTTATCAATTGAGAGATTTCTTGAACAAATTGGAAGAAAATGGAAGAGTTAATTTTTCTTGAACAATGAATGAGAGAAAAATTGGGAAAACGTGAAGAGAGAGAGAATATTGACTTGAGTTAAAACCTAGAATGGGATAATGGATAATAAAAGTTTTTTTTTTTTTTTTTTATCGGTTAGTGGTGTAGAAATTGATCTAATGTGGGACTGTTTTGAGAAATAAATAGAAAGGAAAATAGTTATATTAGGATACAAATCATTTTCTAAAATATTGACATTTTAATATTTTTAGTAATTATTTTAAAGTGTAGATGTTTTTACTAATATGTTAGGAATTGTGACTATTTTGCTAATTTTTCCATTATTTTATGTTTAATGACTTATGGTTATCAAGTAAATACGAGCAATGAAGACCATCCAGTTCCTAATGAAGTTAGAACTGGGCTGGGATGACAAATTGTTACATGTGGGCCTTTCGGACTATCCATTTGGATGATTTGCATAATACGGATATTTTGAGTTGCAATTTTTATCCCAAGTTTTGACAAATTCCATCGGTCTATTTTTATTTGTCTGATATTGACTTGACATATCTCTTAAGAAATAGTAGTAAATATAATAATAATTTTATGATATCATTATTTGAATATAATAAATTTAATATTTGAGAAATACTATGAGATTAAGAATAAGGGTAATTAATTAGAAACTAAGTAATCAATTAATTATCTCTTAATTTTTAGAACTAAACCAATAAAAATACATATATGTTTCATTCAATTGACAAGTAAAAGTGATCTTAGACTAAAAACTTAATTAGTACACTCACCTTTTCTTCACCATTCTTAAAACTAGTTGACAATTCAATGTAAATGTTATGCATAGATAACATAATCTTAAAATAACCATAAAAACATTTTTTTTTTACCCCTTAATTAAAGGTTTCAAGTTTGAGCCCTGAGTATGAATAAAATCTTATAAGTTGACAATTCAATGTAAAGTCATGTAGTGTGCGATCTAAATTTAATCGAAGCTCTAATGTGGGCTATGAAAACCGTTAAAAAACAAAATAATTAAGATAAAAATATATCATATTTAAGGAAATACTGATAAAAAAATTATAATGATGCACGTCTTTTATGAAATCAAGCTCCAAATAATTACATCCTAGAAATGTTGAAAAGCAAAACTAAAACGTGTTAAAAGTTATAATCCAACCCAAGTTAAAATATAGTTTTATGTTTATAATTGTACCAATATGTAGAATTTTGTAACTTACATTACAATTATTTATTGTTTGTTGGAACTTGGCATATATTATAGTAGTATAGAACAATACGATATTCTTGATGAATATTCGATAACTCTAATACATCATGTAATAATTATTTTCTGTCTATTACTCCACTGATTCCATGACTATTACTAACATTTTTAAAAATATTGAGAAATATTTTCGAAAATTCATATAATAAGAGTAAAATAGAAAAAAAAAAACATGTCTTCCTTTAGATAGGTTAAAATGAATAAATAAAAGCAAAAATTAGTTTTAATATACTGAATAAATAAAGATAATTGTTTCTATTCAAATTTACCTCTCTTTAGATGTATAAATTTTTATACAACCAAAAAGTATAATTAAATACTTTACACTTTTTACTTTCAAATAAATATATTAAAAGGTGCATTTAAACTAAAAACATCATCATTTAATATGAACCCGAAAAATTAAAGATTTGCCTATTAATATTTATAACTATAATCAATATAAATTCTAGTAGTATGATTGAAATTTCTTCATCCTTAATCAGAAATATCAAATAATACTTTGAGTATAAAAATTTTTTTGTTAAAATCGTCACGTAAAATGGACTCTATATACACAAATAACAAATCGAGTCGACTCCAATACGAATACGGAACATACTCACTATATGATTACTCGGTTAAACAGGACGGGGAGTACTATGCTTAGTAGTTCACACATCATTTGCTTCCATTTTCTCCGGCTGTAACAGATTTATCAAATTCATCAGCCTAAAACAAAGGTATTCTTCTTCTTCTTCTATCTTCTGATTTAGCCCTAATTTTCTGTTCAGCAAGAAAATTGTAATCTTTTTCTTGCTCCATTGTGTTGAAGTTCCATTTTAGGTTAATTTTGGTGTGATTTGAATCATTGATAGAGTCTATAAAACAAAGGGTGTTTGTCGGTGATGTTTTTTTGAGTTCTTATTTGTGTTAATTTCATTTTCTAGGTTATTAGCCCTATAAAGTTTGTGTTTTTTGGGCTATTGATGTGTTTTGTAAGACATTGTTGAAAATTTATATGATTCTAATGTTTTTTTTTCAGAATTAATGATGGTTAATTAGAGGGTTATAGCTTCTTATGTATAACTTGTTCGTGATCCACAGCCATTTGTTCTGCCATTGCTCTACGTGAAGTGATTTAGGTGAGTCATAAGCAGATGTCTAAGTGCTACTATTTCTTTTCATTGACTAATTGCTACTGATTTAGTGTCAGTCAGAAGCTGCGAGTTGCTTCATTTGCCTTGTATCTTGCTGATTTGTTGTCATATTATTCTTGCAATCCTGCTTCGATTACATTTTTTTTGAGCTGGAGGTTTGTCGAAAACAGCCTCTCTACCCTTACAAAGATAGGGGTAAGGTATGGTACATCTTACCTTCCCAGATTCGACTTGTGGTATTACAGTGGGTATGTTGTTGTTGTTGTTATTTTACATAAATGTTGATAAATTGAGTGGCACAATGTACTGGAAGTATTTTAGTGTCAAAATCAAATGATCCATTTGAAGATTGTGTTTCAATTAGTAGAATAACAAGCACAACACCTATTACAACTGAATAAAGAAAATTTTAAGGTGTTTTGTTTTTCTGAAGTTCTTTTGGAATCTTGCGAAGAAATTTTCCAAAAATTGTGTTTCTTTGAATCTTCTGAAACACTTTTTTAAAAAAAATATTTTTTTATGAAGTGTTTTTAGGGTGCTCCCACTCACAGATCTTCAATAACCAACTATCCATAAACATTTAGTCTTTGCATGTTTTAAAAAGAAGATTTTTTGAGAAAACTCTTTCCAAGATCATCTCTAAACATGCAAGCCGAATAGCTCCTATAAATTTCTGTAATGAAAACATTAACTAATTGATGAAATTAGTAATTAGAGCATCTCTTTTCAAACCAGCATTTAAAGTGTTTGCATCTGTTGATGGATGAATTCAATATGCTAATGAATTCTAACTCAGCATTTTTGGAAGATCAGCTTTCGTGGTGAAGGAATAAGCAGTTCTTTTGGAAAATAGTAAGGAGCTATGGCTTGAATGTTTATGCGAAGCGAATGTGTACCTTCTGTTTACTCTATGGATGCTAAAAAATTCTGCTAGTTGCTAAAACAGGATGAGGGCTATGGGAAATAACTTATTTTGTTTGATCCACTCATTTCTTCTACCACTGCTCTCTGTAAAGTGATTTAGGTGCACCAGTTTATTATCCATGTTATAAGCATCTGTCTAGGTGCCCCCATTATGTTTCTAGGATAAGTAGAAGTTCTTGCAATTGACTAGCTGCCACTGATTGATGGTAAATACTTACCCACATTGGGTGTTTATACTTAAATAAACAGTTAACCTTTAGAATTAGCAAATTAAAGTGAAAATGCATATCACTTAACCGTGTTTAAGTGTTACTAAGTGTATATGCAAGATATATGTGTATATTCATTGTCTTGGTGTAAGCACCCATTCGGGTTAAGATTTTACCTGATTTAGTGCCTCTCGGAAGCTTTTAATTGCGATTTATGTTAGGGATTATCCATAAATGTTGATCAATTGAATGTCACAGTGGGATTTGAAGTACTTAAGTGTCAAAATCAAATGATTCACTTGAAGACTGTGCATCAATTAGTAGAAGAACAAGCATAACACACTTATTACAACTAAATAAAGAAATATCTAAGGTGTTTGTTGTGAAAGTTTCTTTGAGATCTTGGAAGAAGTTTTCGAAAATGTGTTTCTTTTGGAGTCTTCAGAAAAGCTATTTCTTGAGCAAGTTATTTTAGGGTGTTCTCCATTCACAAATCTTCAAAACCAACTATCCAAACACATTTTCTGTTTGCATGGTTTTAAAGAAAGGATTTTTCAGAAAACTTTTTTCAAAAGTTATCCGTTCAACTCTTATAAAACTCTGCGATGAATACATTAGCTAATTGTTGAAGTTTGTTATTAGACCATCTGTTTTCAAACCACATTTAAAGTGTTTGCTTCTGATGATGGGTGAGTTCAACATATTAACAAATTCTTACACAACATTTTTAGACCATACGAGTTTGTTGGTGAAGGAATGCACAGTTCTTATGGAAAATAATAAAGAGCACAGTTGAATGGATATGCAAAGTGGCGGTGTGTCTTCTGTTACTCTATGGATGCTAAAAAGTTTTTCTACTTGGTGGCATATTGTTACATTTGTCCCTTTTATATGAATCAGGTGGACCGGCAAAAATCCTCAAAAAGAGCCTTATTTGGACCTTTGAGGCATGACATCTTTTACAATCTCATTACAAAAAAATGAGTGTTATGGTAAGTCATGTGCTTCTTTCATAGTAACTGTGTAATGTGATAAAATGAACCATTTAATCTACTTTCTTTCATTGTTTTCACTGATGTGTGCTTCTTTCGACATTTTCTGACGATAATTAGTCCCCTAGTTTTCAATTTATGTGCTACAGTGCTTGACAGAGTAAAGTACAGCATTTACCTTTTCAGTTAATTTACTATATTTTCTGGCCCAATTTTAGTGGTCAACATCAAACACACTGCCTTGATTGCATGATGACGTTGTGCAATGGGAAAAATAATTGCAATAGCTAAATGGTGATGTGAAAGATCAGCCATCCCTTAACTCTGTGTTTGTGGATGAAATCCTCTCTCAGAAGAGTTCGAATGGCCATTCCTGCCCCTTGAGCATTACCAAGTAAATGACTACTTAAATCGTAGACATTGCTCATAATTGGTCAAAAATTGGCCAGCATATCTGTAACTATTCTCTTAACACAAATTATAGTAGCATCATTTAAAGAAAAACAGAACTCTGAGTGCTCTTACCCTATGTCGTTCTTTGTCAGTAAACCACAGTGATAATTTCTCTCTCTTGGGTTGTCACATTGACATCTTTGCATTTTTGTAAGCACTCTTGTATGCATGTATGTATTTTATTGTTAAAGAATGACAAAAGTCTCACTCGGTGGTTAATGAGATGGGTGGACTCCTTATAAGGCTTGGGCAATCCTCCTCCCTTGGAGCTAGCTTTTGGGGTGTGAGTTAGGCCTAAGACCTAATTTAACATGGTATCAGAGCAGGGCCCATCTCACCCGATGTTGGGGACCCCAAAATCAAAATTGCCCACGCACCAGATGCTAAGCACTGGGCGTGAGGTGGGGTGTTAAAGAATGACAAAAGTCCCACATCGGTGGTTAATGAGATGGGTGGACTCCTTATAAGGCTTGGGCAATCCTCCTCCCTTGGAGCTAGCTTTTGGGGTGTGAGTTAGGCCTAAGACCTAATTTAACAGTTATAAACTAAAAATACACATTTTTCTCATTTGGATGAATGTCTTTCTTCTTTGTTACTATGCAGAAGCAACATATACCATCCAACTTCCTTTGCAATGCAGAACTTGAGGTGGACAATATCAGCAACTTACCAGCACAAATTGTTGACAAGATTCTGTCCCATTTATCACTTAGGGATGCTGTGAGGACAAGTGTCTTGTCAACTAAATGGAGAAACAAATGGGTTACTCTTCCAAACCTTGTATTTGACAATCAATCTCTTTTGATCTCATCCCAAGACCAAACCTTCATAAAAAATAAGATAGTAAACATTGTTGATCATGTTCTCTTACTTCATTCTGGTCCCATACACAAGTTCAAGCTTTCTCATCGGGATCTTCAAGGGGTGTGTGATATTGATAGATGGATTCTCTTTCTATCAAGGGGTGCTGTGAAGGAATTTATTCTGGAAATATGGAAAGGCCAACGCTACAAACTCCATTCTTCTATATATCTTTGTCAAAAGTTGAACCACTTGGAGCTTTTTAATTGTCTTCTAAAACCACCTCTCACATTCAGTGGTTTTAAAAGCTTGAAAAGTCTCGATCTTCAGCACATCACTATGGAACAGGATGCATTTGAGCAACTCGTATCGAGATGCCATTTACTTGAGCGGCTTACACTGATGAATTTTGAGGGTTTCTCCGATCTTAAAATCCATGCACCGAATCTCCTCTTCTTTGACGTTGGAGGCGTCTTTGAAGACATCAATTTCATGAACACATTCAATCTTGCCATCGTTTCTATTGGGCTATATGTAAATCCTGGATTTGACAAAAATCTTGCTCTAGGCAGTGCTGGAAATTTGGTCAAGTTTTTTGCTCATTTGCCTCGTCTTCAAAGGCTTGAAGTACAGAGCTTTTTCTTAAAGGTATTCTTCATACTTACCTTTTGTGCTATGATTGTAGAGTTCCAGAGAGTTGATGGCAACTTCTCTTCCCAAGCATTTGTTTCCTGTAAAATTTAGCATAAAATGATGTTTGACAACCAAAAGTATGGAGCTGGATCTTTTATTTTGCGGTGTTTGCTTGTCTAACATAATGCAATATCATTAGGGTCAAATCATTTAATACTACCATGTGAAAATGACTTGTGTCCTGCAGTGCAACTCATATTTTATTACGAATCTCCAACTTTCACTGTCCATTAGTACTCGCGGGTCCTTATTTGAAACAATTGTAATCGCTCTTTGTTATCTACTATTTCAAAATACACCATCATCATATCTTGCCACTACTTTCTACCACTGTCATTGGCTTCATTTAAATTCACTGGAAAATTGTTAGGAATGGGTTTTCTATTGATGAGATTCCTCCCTTGTTTTATGATATGTCTTGTGCCAACCTAACAGAACCTTACTGTTCTTATTTTCTTAACTAAAATGTAAAATTTCTCTAATGGATGCCTTTGCCAAGTTTATCTCCCCGCATTATTTATTGGATGCTTGAAATGGAGGAACTCTGTCAATCTTTGGAGAAAATGTATACTAATCATTGTTATGTCTGCAGTATCTGGCTGACAATAAAGTGCCAGGAAGACTACCTACGCCTTGTGACGAGCTAAGTTTTCTTTCAATACGCATAAATTTCAACCATTTGGATGAGTGTCTGGCAGCACTTTGCCTTCTCAGAAGTTCCCCTAACCTACAAGAGCTTGAGATGTTGGTGAGTTTCAAATATCACTTGAACTTCATTAGGACCAATCATAAACTGGCTTCAACATACTTCACTGCATGGATAATATTCACGTACCCAACCTATTTTGCAGCATGTAAACTTTTCACAGCAGCTGCCGAACTGTCTTTAAGCTCTGTACATTCATGCCATTGTCATTTTGTAGGCACGCACAGAAGAACAAAGTACTTTGAGAACAGCTGCCAGTGTTATGGAAGAGAATTACCAGAATTGTATGTTCAATCAATTGAGGCATGTTAAGATTGCTGGTATAACTGGGCTTAAACAAGAGCTAAATTTCATCAATTTTCTGCTTTCAAATTCACCTGTTCTTGAAAGAATGACAGTCAAGCCAGCTTCAGCTGACGGTGCATGGGAGATGCTAAAAGAGTTGCTTCGCTTCAGGAGAGCTTCTGTACAAGCTGAAATTGTTTACATTGACCCTTAATTTATAGCATATCTAAGCTGGGGAGCCTGTGGTCTAGTAAGATCTAGGCTTATTTACTATATTAGTGTAGCATCTAGTGTAGAAACTAAGCTAGACCGTCTGCTGAAATGGAAGCACCAATGTGATCGGTAAACAGAAAGATGATTATAATACTGAACTTGTTCGTTCAGTGTTGTGAACTTTTCAGACATCCTCGTAGAAGTCTTGGTTTTTCTGAACAATACAACTAGTTGCGTAGTTGTACTTGTCCTGTTGATAGCCCTCTGATTGTGTCTTGTTCTTCGGTACAACTGTACAAGTATTCTAAAAAATGTGTTAATTGTCTTGATGAAGATAGCTGAACTAATGCTTCTCAGTATTGTTTTCTTACATCCTTATATCTGAATATTTGCCCTCAGAATGGATCCTAATGCCTTGAGGGGCCTTTATGAAGCCAATTTTTGGCTCTGCCTATGAAAAATAGTCATTATTGTGAACTTAAACATTGCAGAAATTGGAACCAATATTAACCATCGTTAACATAAAAAGACTTATCAATTTAATACATACAATTTGAAATTTCAATTGTGCAATGTGGTACGGCATTGAGAACTTTAGTTCAATAATTTTGATTTTCGGTTTCACATTATATCAATCATACTTAATCAATTTTCATTCGTATGGTATGGTAAGTCGATAACCATGCTTTTTTTTTTTACCCTTGGATTTTATCTTTTACCAATTTTGTAATAATAATATACTAATATGTATGAATATTTATGTATTTGGGTTACCAAACAGGCCTTTACCCGTTTCCTTTACATTATCCATTACTCAATCTTCACTGTAAACAACATCGACCAAGAAGATAGACGGATAGAGAGAGTCGAAAATGGCGATTTCCGTGGCTTCTCTCGCCTCATCTTTTGCTTCTCTTTCATTTTCTTCTCAGATTTCTCAAAAACCCTATGCTGTATCCCTTGCTCATTCAAAGCAATTCTCTTTCTCTCTCACTTCCAAAATCCCTAGGCTCGTTGTGTCAGCTTCCGTTGCCGAAGCACCGGAGACGGAGGAATTGGAAACGAGAGAGAAACTTTTGAAGCTTGTGAAAAGTAGACTTCCTGGAGGTTTCGCTGCACAGCCTATTTTCGGAACTGGTAGACGTAAAAGTGCAAGTGCTCGTGTTGTCCTTCAGGAAGGTTCTGGAAAAATCATCATCAATTATCGTGATGCTAAGGTGTTTGTCTACCTCAATCTCACTTCTTTACTTGCACTTAATGTATGATTTGCTCAATAAAAATTGCATTTTTATAATTGGGTATTCAGTTTGGCAAGTACAATTGCAGAAAGTAGGATTGCATTGTTCTCGTTACCGTTAAATTAGGTCTTGTGATAACATTGTTCTCCAGGATTTCTGTGTGTTGAATAGATTTTGAAGGTGAAACTTGAAAATATTGAGTTTTTGATTCAGTTGTGTTTGGACATGCATTTTACTTGGAAAAAAATTGAATTTTTGTTAGTGGAAGTCCCCAAAATTGGTCTGAGCCGGTTTCTGGGAACTTGAATATCTGATCAAGTTTCATGGCCGAATGAATATTTGAAGATAAATTTTTGAACCTATGGTCAAACGCTAGCTAAATGTGATATTTAGAGAACCTAATGTGCCTTAAATGCTAAAGTGATTAGTATTTGATGAAGTGGATCTATTAGAGCCGAATGTTTGCAGAAGCTTCATATAGCCAATCCCAACTAGTTTGCCATGAAGCTATGCCGTGTTTCTGAGGAATTATCTGCCATTAGGGAAAAAAATGATAAGAAAAAATAAAAGATTATTGCAGATGGTAATTTGAAAAGGTTTCCGGTGGTCTCTAATATGTGCATTAGGTAATATGATGCTCAGTTTCATATATGACACGGGTAGTCAATTGGTTTACCTGGTTTGACCATGATTCTCATGTGTCTTATTTAGAAGTTGCTGGTTGCTGAATTGGTCACTTTAAATCAATGTAGATAGAAAGCTTTAGAAAGGCATATAGTACTTCATAATGTTCTGTGTGAAGAAATTCATTTATCGAGGGACAACTCTGTTAAGAGTGTATAGAGATTGTAAAGTAGGAAATCTGGCCTTGAAAAGCAAATAGAACATAGAAGCAGGAAGCATAACTGATACCTTTGAGTTTCTTGGGAAATGCATGCATAAACTATTTTTGTGGATCAGTGGTGCATATAACAGAACAATGAGAGGAACACAACTTCTCCGTTTCAAGTTCCATAAATAAAAGCATAGCAGTAGAGGAACAATCAAATTAGATAAGTAAAATGTGCTAAGTTAATATAAAGAAGTAAGTTGTGTTTGCCTTCTGGGTCGAGCTCGTCGAACCGGGCTTGCCTAGTGCGGGTTACCTCTCCTATGTGGTTTGCGAGCTATTGCATAGGAGCGGGGGTTTTACCCTGTGCGCACCCAAAGGGTAGCGGCTATGGGTTTCCCTTGTCATTAAAAAAAAAAAAAAACTCCCGAGATCCAAAAGGTGTGTGAAATTTGCACTTTTGTGATGTTGCTATGTGAATAGGAAGTGTTGTAATATAATTTTTTTGATAAGGAACCACACATAAGTGTTTTTAATATTATTGAGGTCTCTAATTTTGTATACTCGAGGTCCGATGAAGCAAGTCATCAACATTCTTATTAATGCTGGCAGCGTCCCTTTTTATTCATTGTTTTGTTGCTTTTGACTATTTGAGACTTGACATGTGTCATGATTTGCAGGAATATCTTCAAGGAAATCCATTGTGGATTCAATATGTCAAAACTCCACTGGCCACTTTAGGATATGAGGCTAGTTATGACATTTTCGTCAAGGTGGAAGGTGGTGGTCTTTCTGGGCAGGCTCAAGCAATTTCCCTTGGCATTGCTCGTGCACTCCTAAAGGTTAGTGAAAGTCATAGAAAGCCATTGAGGGTGGAGGGTCTGCTAACTAGAGATGCCAGAGTTGTGGAGCGGAAGAAAGTTGGTCTCAAGAAGGCTCGCAAGCGTCCACAATTTTCCAAGCGTTGAGGTTACACTCCGAATATTATTTTCCATTGTGTGCTATTCCACTGAACGACACATGTATGAGAGCTTCTAATGCAATTTACTCACATTTTATTTGCTTTCTCTGTCCAGGTTGGTACTTACTCACTGTGGCAGCATTTGGTAGAAAAGTATGTAAAACCGTCATACGTTATAGCTGTAGTGAGTTAAAGATAGATTAAGCAAAAAACTGAAAATGAGGATTTACATAGGTGTAAGCCAAGATTTGTGTTTGTAATCCTTTTTCTACTTTTGGTTTGCAGATTTGGTGGTTTATTGACTCAGATTGGGGGGAAAAGAGCATATCAATGATCTGATTTGACTGTTTAAGATGAGGAAATGCTTCAGATTTATCATCACTCAATTGCTTCTTGTAAATTTTGTATTAGTCCCTACTCAGAATTACAATTTGTTCTGTTGAAGGTATTTTTTGAGTTTAGTTTCTTGTTCAATTCACATGGTAAACGTACACTGCGACAGTTTGATATAATTCTGGAGATTTTTGTGCCAAAAAAAGGGAATCCTTTGTCCACTCGTTGAAAAGTGAAATGTGAATGCTTTTAGTTCCAAATCCATTTTTTCCGCAATTTAGGGACAAAACTTCATCTACAAATTTGAGAAAAATACCTAAAAAAAGTTGCTTTAAGACTAGGTTCCAACTCAATATCTTTTACTCCCGAAACTTCGATGTCACGATAATAATAATTAATATATGATTAACACTACTTCGTTTAACCATATTATTCACAACCATCTTCATTAAAAAAAAATTAGAAGGCAAGAATTAGTTGTTGAGTTAAATGGTTAAGCGCCTTTTCTTCGACTTTTTTATCTTTATCCTCCACACGATTTACGGTCCACCTTCACTATAATTTAAAAGTTTTACATGGTTAACCAATGACCAAGGAGTTCCACTAAACAAAGAAACTATATAAGGCCAATAATACCACAACAATCAAAATCACTCTGCTTTTTTCTCATTAAGAAACAAATAACAGTAAAAAAAAAATTCTCTCTTTTTGGAGGGGTTACTTGCTTTCCCCTCCAAAAATTTGTCACCAACATTTCCATTGGTGACGAATTAAAAAAAAAGAAGAGCAAAATCCCATTCTAATTTTTTTTTTTTCGAAGTTTCCATTTTTCTGCAACTTTGAGGTATTTTGACTTTTGGGGTTCTCATAAATATGGATGACATGTATGGCAGTGATGAGGAATACTATAATGGAGAATACGAGGATGATTATGATCGTGACCCGGAACCTGAATCTGATGATGATTTATCTTGTGGCAAAGCTCCTTCATGCAGGGTATAGTCAAAATTGTTTCTTTTCCTTTTGATCAAGTCAAGTTCTTGAGTTCTGCTCTATCTGCTTCGATTTGTTTGTCTTACTTTTCCTTTTTATTATGTTTCGAAAAGAATGTTTCTTTCCTTTTTGGCAACTTTTGATTCTAACTTCTCACATGACTTGTTTAAGACCACATGTCAAGTCAAAACCAGACAAAGAAATTGAAATGGAAGGAGTATATTAGTTTTAACTTCAAGCATTTTGCCATTGATGAAATGATTTATAGTTGCAAAAAAAAAAAAAAAAAACTTATTTTAGACCATAGTTGTGAACTTCTGGTAAAATGGCAAACGACTCTCTCTAATTTAGTCATAGTAATAAGGTAAGTTCTTTTACACTTTACAAAAAAAACACTTGTATGATGGCATGGAGAGTCTTGGATGCAAATACTAATTGACGAAAACGGAGAAAGCAAATTGGCCTTTCAATTATGTGATATTTGGTACTTAATGTGCTGAGAGTTGTGTGTAGTTTTGAGTCATTTTAATGTGATAATTTGGTTCTCCTTTTCTGGATTTTGCAGGTAATAAGGAAGGAATCCCTTTTAGCAGCACAGGTTAGCACATCGTTTGTCTCAATTTTCAATTTTTTTACTAGTGTCAGAGATGTGAATCATTTCTATAAAATTTGTAGAAAGAAGATCTACAGAGAGTAGTAGACTTGCTTTCTCTGAAGGAACATCATGCACGAACATTGCTTATTCATTATCAATGGGATGTTGATAAGGTCTT